ATATATATATATATATATATATATATATATATATATATATATATATATATATATATATATATATATATATATATATATACTAAAATTTAAATAAATCACAAAATAAAACTATTAATAATATAACTCGTCCAACAAGCTAATAATATCCATAAAAGCAAATGTTCTACCCCAAGTGCATAAGTTTAATACATTTCAAGATAGTAAGTTTCAAAATGTTAACAACAAAATATTCCTAGAACATTCATCTATAGCAATTCAAAATTCATCTTAAGTAAGGTCTAGATCTTCACTGCCTTCATCTTCTATTTCTTGATCTACTCCATCTACAAAAGAGGATAAATAAAGTCATTACCTTTCATCTTGAATGCCTAGACTAAATAAATTGATCAAAAAAGAAAAAGAAAATAATGGACATACAAGATGCTAGTCATGAGCCTAGCTCTTCTACAGAAACACATTATCTAGACCCCAAATTTGGACATTAAATGTACATGCAAGCTACTAAAAAAGAACAACATATCAAATTAATCCCGTTATAGGATTTAAAAGGAAAAGAAGTCAGTTTGCACAAATTTGGTTTTGTGACCACTAGCTAATTCCTGATTTCATATCACAACATATGCCAGAGTAAGGAAATTATATAGGCAGGAATAACAATTATAATAACTTTTTTCTGCAAATGAGTCAACCAAATAATAACCAACAGTGAATAATAAGTAGTGCAATCAACTTACCATACTAATTCAATATATTGACAATGTTAAAGTACCTGCAACATTTACTCTTCATACTGAACTTTTCTTTTGAAAAGGTAAGGTAATGTTATAAATCCAGAACTAAGAATGTGCTATTGTAGCTTCAAATAATTAACAGAGGCAGAAAAAGTAAAAGGATAAGCCCCAAAAAACTAATCTTGTAATAATTTTAACACCTGAAGAACAATTTCAACCTCATTTACATGTTCCATCCACACCAAAAGTAAGAATAGGATGTTAATGGAGTCCTCTCCACTGCCTTTGATAATTGGAAAAAGCACCTGATTTATCCTTTCCTATTGTAAACTCAATATATAGTGTACCAAAAACTAGAACATACAAAGTCCAATATTGCATAATCCAAGTATATTTTGACAAACTCATGATAAAGACCAAACAAGACACAAAGTTTAGACCTTTCAGATAAATAAAGAAAATTACCTCTCTTCCTCAACTTTATTCTATAATTGTAAAATTCCTATATTTAACAAAAAATTGTAGCTATTTAGACATAAGTATCCTATACCGGCCCAAAAAAAATCACTTCATAACTAGACCAGTAAATGCAAGTAACCTAAAAGAAAGCTAGCAGAGGTTTTCTCGTAAAATGATGGGCAAAATGGATGAATTCTGGAGTACAATTTCAGTGCAACAATCTTTCACAATATCACAGGTAGTACATGGTCAAGAGTACACAACAATAAGCAAGTGGACACCATACGACTATAGGTACACAGGCAGCAGATTTGAACACACCACAACAGCTACCTCGATGCATCACAGAATAAAACAATAAGGGATAGACAAAGCACAAAGGGATATTGTTATGATGCAGCATGCTTACACGCACTCATAATATGGAATAAATGCAAAAGTTCCAACAGGAAACAAAGAGATGATTGCCAGATACCAAAGGAAAGACAATCACTTATCCAGGGAAGATATGCTGAGAGAAAAATTAAAAACTTAGCCAACAATATGGTGTTGGACAGTGCTGGAAACAATACTGTCCTCAAAAAACAAGATCCATCGACATAGGATGCAAGCTCAAACACTAGAGTTAAATTACACAAGTGTTGCCAAGTACAAGAGAAAGGGTCAAAATGACGATCAATAGCGTGCAAATAAGCAAAATTACTACATATGTAGCATCATAGTGATTAAACATGCTATTCTATTTATATATCCTTTTCATACAGTAGCACATTGTGATATCAGTATTGGTTATCACAACACCAATGTTGGTAATAGGACTTATGTAACTGTCAATTTTTACTTTTTTCATTTTGTAAGACTTTACATATATAAAAATTAGCCCTAGCCAATTGCCTAGCGGATTACCAAAAAAAATACACCTCAACACGGCCAAGTCGCACAAAGTCGGATTCTGTAGAGTTCTGATGGGACCTCCTCAAATTCAATTTCATTCGATCTTGCAATATTAAACTTTAAAATGTGATCTTAATAGTAATCAAGAAATTATGCCAGTAATCGAGCAATTCCACAAACATAATTTTAACTACTGGTGCAAATCCGCCAAAACATGTAAACTCCAGTACAGATGAACAATTAGTTTAAGTGTTTAACGGTACTCTTCCCCTTTCTCCTCTGCATTATCATACTCTCCAAGTAACGAAAGCTCATTTTAAAGCTCATTCACATTAAAATAACAAAGAAACTAAATAAGTTGTGCACCCATAGAAAAGAACATGAAACTTACTTGGACCAGTTCATCAGTGGTCATAGCACAATTTGGAAGATGCTCGGCAGATTGAACATAAATGCTTGCCCCAGTCTCACTTTGCAATTTCTGAATAACATCGCCTTTTCTTCCTAAAAGGCATCCAACCAAATTGTTAGGAACAAGTAGACGCGTGATGATTACAATTTCATTCTTATCCTCATTTTGTGCTTCATGCAAGTCTTCCTACACGATCGAGCGAATGAATAATTATTTTCAAATATGATTTTGGGCAATTCTCATCTCACGAAATAAATTTTGGATTTGAGTGAGGTAGTACAACTAGTTTAATTTTTAAGCATTTACCTTAATACTGAATTTAAGACTTTTAGCGCCATATCATAAGCCACAACGCTCTCGAGCATTCGAAAACTTAGGAGTTGACACTCTAAAGTTAGAACGGGTTTACCAACTCGACAAACCAGCAATGAATGATAAGAAATTTTCATAGATTACACCCTGTCAGAATGGCATCAAAATTCAACTCAAAGACCTTATGAAACATAGTTTATGCCAATTGATAGCATAATTCCATATACTAATATTGAGAGTCAATTTCTAGAAAAATCCAAATATAGAGTAAATGCAATTACAGAAAAATAGACTAAGATAGAGTGTCAATAAATTCAAGATGTCAAAAGCAAACATAACAAAAAGACTGATCTTTATGAAAAGTCATCTTTGGTAGATTTTCTACAGAAACATTAGTTCTAAAAATTTAGACTCGCAGTAGCCACACCTAACGAAAATAAAACCTTAACAATTGGGGTTCAAAAAAATAATAGAAAGCAAGATATTAAATACACTACCACACCCTAAATATTATAGAAAAAGTGAACGATTGAAGAAGAAAATTCCCAAATTGAGAAAGAAAAACTTACAACTAAAATCAGTTTTTTACGGAGTGCCTTTTGCATTGGCTATAGAAATCACCGACTTTCGAGTTCATGGGTTGAATAAGACGATGCTGCACAGATAGTCTGAATGTTATTAGCAAAACGGACACAGATCTTCTGGAGATCTCTCACCGGACTACTGGATTTGAGGGATTTCAAAGAGAGAAATTAAAAGGGGAAAATGGGTCTGAGGGATTAGAGTGAATTGGGGAAAACCGAAAACATAATGGGAGATAAGGGAAAAGTGAAAAGGGTTCAGATTTGGGGACCTCCTCAAATTCAATTCCATTCGATCTTGCAATATTGGAACAGTTTACAGACCGTCGCATCCGCTCGCGTGCCAATAGAGCTATAGGGACGGTTCTTGGAACGATTTTCATCTCCCTATAGAGACGTCTATCGCAACGGCTTTCCCTTTCTCTATTGGAACGATTATTCCTTCCAATTGGGATGGTTTAAAACCGTTACTATAATGTGTATGCAACGGCTCATAACTGTTACCATATTATCTAATGCAACTCCGTAAGCTATTGTTACGGTTATTTATGGATATAACAACGGTCTCTTTAAGCTATTGTAGCAGTTGTTTTTGTATTGCTACGTTTTTAACTACCTATTGGAACGGTTTAGAGGGCATTT